GCATTGATTATTTTGATAATTACTCTCCTGTTACTAAAATTGCAACTATTAGGACTTTAATTGCTCTTGCTTGCATTTTTGATCTTGTTGTTCATCAAATGGATGTCAAAACTGCGTTTTTGAATGGTGAATTGAACTTCCTAGAGGTTGTAAGCCCATTACTTGCAAATAGATCTTTCGGAAAAAATTGAAGGCCGATGGATCCATAGACAAGTATAAGGCAAGGATAGTAGTGAGGGGTTTTACTCAAAAGTTTGGCATTGATTATTTTGATAATTACTCTCCTGTTACTAAAATTGCAACTATTAGGACTTTAATTGCTCTTGCTTGCATTTTTGATCTTGTTGTTCATCAAATGGATGTCAAAACTGCGTTTTTGAATGGTGAATTGGATGAGGAGATTTATATGGTCCAACCTGAAGGGTTTGTTGTTCCAGGCCAAGAGAACAAGGTTTGTAAGTTAGTCAAGTCATTGTATGGGCTCAAGCAAGCTCCAAAGCAATGGCATGACAAATTTGATAAGACTATGACTAGTAATGGTTTTCATGTTAATGAAGGTGACTCTTGTGTTTATTTTATGCATGATAGTAATGGTTGTGTAATTATTTGTCTTTATTTGGATGATATGTTGATTTTTGGGACTGACTTGGATCGAGTAAATGAGACAAAACAGTTTTTGAGTTCGAATTTTGAAATGAAAGACATGGGTGAGGCAGATGTGATTTTGGGAGTGAAAATCAAAAGGACTCCAAAAGGCATCTGTCTTAATAGTCACACTATGTTGAAAAGCTTCTTAAAAAGTTTGACTCATTTAATGTCGATCCAGTTAAGACTCCATATGACCCAAGTTTCCACCTAAAGAAAAATAATGGTGATCCAGTTAATCAGTCTGAGTATGCTCGAATTATTGGTAGTGTTATGTTTCTAATGAACTACACTAGACCTGACATTGCTTATTCTGTTAGTAGGTTGAACAGGTACACTCATAACCCAAGAAGTGATCATTAGATTGCTTTTAGGAGGTTGCTTAAGTACCTTAAGGGTACTGCGGATTGGGGTTTGCACTACTCCAAATTTCCTAGAGTTTTGGAAGGTTTTTGTGATGCCAATTGGGTATCCGATAATGATGAAGTTAACTCCACTAGTGGCTATGTCTTCACCCTTGGTGGTAAAGCTGTATCCTGGAAATCTTGTAAGCAATCTTGTACTGCTATGTCTACTATGGAATATGAGTTTATTGCTCTTGAATTGGCAGGTCATGAGGCATAATGGTTGAGGAACATGCTTGCAGATATTCCACTGTGGGGGAAGCCAGCTCCTTCAGTTGCACTTTATTGTGATTCGCAAGCTACTATTGCTGTTGCTCACAACCATGCCTATAATGGGAAGAAGAGACACATCCGTCTGAGGCATAAAGCCGTCAGAAATCTGTTGTCTGAAGGGGTGATATCACTGGACTATGTTAAGTCTGAAAAGAACATTGCGGATCCGTTAACTAAAGGCCTATGTAAAAAACTAGTTTTGGAAACATCGGAAGAGATGGGGCTAAAGCCCGTTGTATGAATTGTGAAATAGTGAACTCCTACTCACCATGAGTTCAAAGGGGAACATTATATAATAATTCGGAAGCACATTTTATTTTTATTGGACCATCTCTAGATGTTTGTTGTGCTTAGCTATAAATGAGAAGGAGGTTGAGCATATGGCTCTTAATGAACCCATATCCATATTTTTGGAGGTGTGTTGTAGCTCACACTTGATGGAGTTCACCTACTTAGGTGTGGAAGTGTGGCCGCTTCCTATGAGTATTTTGTGGGCGTATACTCTAGAGTACCTATGAGCATCCAGGCTGGACGTATGGCCAGTATAATGCGTCATCTTTATTCGCGGAATTTCAGAATATTATACATGTTCAATTGTGTGGCTCAAAGTGACGGGTCCCTAACTCCTTATTGAGTTCAAGACGAAAGTCAATTGGTAGGTGAGGGATCATAGCTTGATGTTCACTATGTGTTAATTCAAGTCGCGAGACATTGACACTTATGCAATTATTTTGTTTTGCCCATAATTCATCTTTTCCTTCCTTTCTTTTTCATATCTTCGAACCTGTGGGGGATTGTTGGAAGTTCTTGATATAAAATAAGAGAGTTGGGGGAAAAACAAGAGAGAGAGAAAAACAAATGAAAGGGGAAAATCCCACATTGGTTAAGGGGAAAGGTTTTTCCTTATTTTTATATTGTAGTGTCTTAACACTACTTAGTTCAGTGAGTGGGAGTTAAGTGTTACTTCACACACACACGCGCGCGCGTGCGCGCGCCGAGCCTGGTCAGGTCGGGCTCGGGCCTCGGGACTTGGGTCTTGGGGAATGCGATGTGCGGGCGTGGGTCCTTGTTATCTTTTTGGAGAAATTTTATTTCCTTTTCTTTGTTAAACAGAATATTCTTTTTTGTCTGTCTGGAATATTCTTTTCTGACTGTTGGGATTACGGAATTAAGTCAGTCATTAATCCCTTGATTATAGCTGACTGATTAATTCCTTGTTTCTTGCTTCCGTTGTTGACTGGTTGAATGAATCTGGTCGTGTTCTTAGCCAGATTGTCCCTCGTTTTACGTTTCATGTCTCCCTTCTACTGCCTATATATACTCGTTGCTTTTTCCAGTCAAAAACACACAACACAATCAGTTATCTCTCTTCTCTCAAATTATCTAAACTCGAGTTTCTTCTGTTCTGTTTTCTGGGCAAGTATTCTGAGTTCCAGTCGGGTTTGTGAGTGCACATAAACTCCGGCGCCGTGCTTATCCTGGAGGACGACCGCTTTTAGTCTACTGCACCGGGAGGTAGCGGGGAATCGTCTTTTAGGTCAGTGGTTCTCCACGACAAGGCTATTGTCACTTTGGTTCAGGCATCAAGAGATAAGTAATTTCTGTTTTATTGCTTAGTAGTTTAACATCTTACATGTTTTATCATACTTATAAAAATCTAGTTTAATTTGATCTGGCTCGATTCATTCTCGAGTTTGAATTTTTAAGCTACTCGCGAGCAAACTTACACATCAAAATGATACTTAATCAAGCCAAGCTTCAACCAGCCATCATCAAAGCTTGGTTAAGCTTAGCTCGAGCTCAAATTAAGTAATAACCTATCGAGCCTAGATAAAACGCGTTAATATATGACATATTCTAAATTCTAATTACAAAATTATAAGGAATGTAGATAACTTATTTTTTCCTAACAATGTTTAATGTCATCAATTACCAATAAGAAAAAGTTACAAAATGTTGAGGTGCATTATGAACGTATACAATGACATGAATATAACAATATGTCACTAAGCTATGTATAACTAAACTTATGAAACCAATTCAATAAAGAAAACCTAATCATCCAGAACTGATCCCCGAATCCGGATTAGCTCAAAGGGTGAATCGAGTAAAACACCACCAAAAAAAAACATATACTAGCATCATTACTCAGTAAATAATAAGCTAAGGATGCTATAAACATGGACGTAAAATGAAAAAAAAAAAGAGAGAGAAAGAAGTAAACCAAGGATTAAAATGGAGCTGAGCCACCCTCCTTCGCCATTGATGTGTTGCTGCTTTATACCTCCACTTGACTCCATTGAAACTCTTAGAGATTTATATTTTATCTAAGGCACACGTATCTTATTTGGTTTTATATTGAGATTGCCATGTCTTTATTTGTTTAATTACATAAATATGTGTTATAAATTTACAAAGTACGTAGTATATAATTATGTATTAAGAATTATTTAATAATTAAATTGACTTGATTGGTTTTCCAAGTCTTTATGCAATTATGCAAATTAATATTGTCTAATTAATTCTCGTCATACGGGGTGCATTAATGATATATGTAGAATTAGGTAGCGAATTGCTTTCATAGTGATGAATGTAAGGGTTAAAATATACTTCATGTTGACCAAAAGAGATTTTATCCAAGTCTTTTTTATAGTTCTATTTATTTTTTAGTGTTAATTGCCGGAAATGATGGAAGAATATTAGCGTAATTACATGAAGTTGGAATAACAACAAAAAATGCAAGCTAAGTTCATAAGGAGTACATCTTGATTAGCAACAATTTTGAGATTAAGGATTAACTTGCCACCACTACATCCCTCTTCCATTTATTGACCTAAGCATGATGGAGACATTTTGGAGTTTATAATGCGAAATATAATAGCCCGTTTAATTAGCCCCAAGTTTTAAAACTTGGATGTGACATGGGAGGAGAGGAATGGAGCATTGTCCATGTTGAAGTTCATCAATTGAACTTCATTCTGAAAGAATTTTCCAGAAAATGTAAGAAGATAAAAGAGAGAAAAAGCTTGTAATAGAAGAAAGAGAAGTTTATTATTAATTGAATGATGAAATTACAGCAAAGCGTTTGTATTTATACAAGAGTTAGTTACAGAAACTCTAACAAACTCTAACAACTCTAACAAACTTATGCTGAGCTGGAGCTAGCTGAGTGTGCTTCCAATTATGCTGCTGCTGGTATTTGCTGACTCTGCTTCCTTGTGCTGACCTGGACCATGTATTTCAACACCCCCCCCCTCAAACTTGGCAGTGGTGACTTAACCATGCCAAGTTTGGTTAGAAAAACCTCATGCTGAGAAATGGAAATCTGCTTGGTAAAAACATCAGCAAGCTGCATACCAGTAGGAATGTAAGTAAGCTCAATTAAGCCTTCAAGAACTTTGTCCCTTGTAAAATGACAATCCACTTCAATATGCTTAGTTCTCTCATGGAAAACCGGATTCTTGGCTATATGAATAGCTGATTGACTGTCACAGAACAGCCTAACAGGCTTCAAGTTACCTAAACCGAATTCATCAAGAATCCTAACAAGCCAGGCAACTTCACTTGCAGCATGAGCCATTTCCCTGTATTCAGCTTCAGCTGAGCTCTTTGAAGTGGTGCTTTGTTTCTTGGATTTCCAAGAAATAGGAGAGTTACCAAGGAGCATTACATATCCAGTTACAGACCTCCTTGAACTAGGACAGGCTGCCCAATCAGAGTCAGAAAGGCCTGTAGAGTGAGTTGATCAGTAGCTCTTAGAAGAATTCCCTGACCAATAGTAGAAGCAACATATCTTAATGTGTGTTGCAAAGCAAGAACATGTGGAACCCTGGGAGAATGCATGAATTGGCTTAGAGTTTGGACAGCAAAAGCAAGATCAGGCCTTGTGTTAGTTAGAAAATTTAATTTCCCAACATAACACCTATATAGGGCAGCATTATCATATAGAGCTCCTTGATCAGAAAATAACTTCATGTGAGATGGAAAAGGAGTGTTAGCAGTCTTTGAAATATCCAACTCACATTCTTGCAGAAGCTCTTTAGTAAACTTTCTTTGAGACAGAACATAGCCATCTTGACACTTACTAACTTCAATGCCAAGAAAATAACTCAGTTGTCCCAAATCCTTTATGCTGAAAGTATGATGTAAGTGAGCTTTTAGATCAGAAGTTAAACCATCATTTGAACCAGTAATGATGATATCATCAACATAAACTGCAATAACAGTTGTATCAACACCATCTTTTCTCAAAAATAGAGAATAGTCATTTTTTGACTGATTAAAACCTTGAAACTTTAATTCTTCAACCAATCTGGCAAACCATTTCCTGGAAGCCTGTTTTAGGCCATATAATGACTTCTTAAGTCTGCAAACATTCCCTGCAGGAGCAGAGACACCTTCTGGAATCTTCATATAGACTTCTTCATGAAGAGTTTCATGAAGAAAGGCATTATTTATGTCTAATTGAAACAAATTCCAACCATTCTGAGCAGCAAGGGAAATCAAAGACCTGATAGTTGACATTTTTACAACAGGAGAAAAGGTTTCTTCATAATCAACCCCATATTTTTGAGTAAAACCTTTGGCAAAAAGTCTATCCTTGTACCTTTCAATACTTCCATCAGCATTCTTCTTGATTTTGTAGACCCATTTGCAGCCTATGGCTTTCTTTCCCTTGGGTAACATAACAATGTCCCATGTATTGTTCTTGTTAAGAGCAGAAATCTCTTTATCCATAACATCTACCCAGGAAGAATTCTGAGCTGCCTCACTATAGCTTGTTGGTTCAACAAGAGATTGATGAACACATATGTCTAGCTGTTGTTTCTTAGGAAGAGAATCAAAAGAGACCAAGTTACACCAATGATCAGTAACAGCATAACAATGAAAATGAGTAGGTGGTTTAGATATTCTGGAAGATTGTCTAACTGGATCAGAATTAGGTGTAATATCTGAAGGTTAAGGTAAGATAGGGGAAGAAATATTGATTTGAGGAACTGGATTAGGTGAGACAGAAATAGGAGTAAAATCTGAATTATTACTGAAATCAGAGAAAATTTCAGGAATATCAGAATAAGATTGTGAAATTGAGTTGTTAACAGGTAAGAAAATTTTGTTGGCATAGGTTTTGTGAGGGGAGGGAGAAAAATGAAAAGGAAAATATTTTTCATAGAAAATAACATCCCTGGAAATTGATATTTTGTTTGTGGCAAGATTAAGGACTTTGTAAGCCTTTTGGTTTGGAGGGTATCCTAGAAATACACATGGTGTTGCTCTAGGATCTAGTTTGTTTCTATGAGTTTTTGAAGTTGAAATATAACAAAGACAGCCAAAAATCTTTAGATGAGACAAGTCAGGAGCAGAACCATATAATCTTTCATAAGGTGTTACAAAACCAACAGATTTGAGTGGCATTCTGTTGATTATATAAGTTGCTGCCATGATACAATCTCCCCAAAATCTAGCTGGTACTTTGGACTGAAAAAACAAAGCTCTACCAGTCTCCAAGAGGTGCTTGTGTTTCCTTTCAACTACCCCATTTTGTTGGGGTGTATCAGGACAAGATAATTGAGTGTGAACATAACTAAGAGACTAAGACATCAAAGAAACTGAATCACTTTTATTTTTCATAAGATGAACCCAAGTCATTATGGAATAATCATTCACAATTGTAAGAAACTGATTACAACCAGTATGTGTAACATGAGTGTATGGACCCCACACATCTATATGAATGAGATCAAAGGGTTTACAAGACTTTATTGAGCTATTGGGAAAAGAAGACCTAGACTATTTAGCTAAAGGACAAATTTGACACAAGTTTTCAGCTAAACAACTATGAACATCAGTGCCCTTAATAGACTTTATTTTATCAAAAGACATGTGTCCTAAACGAAGATGCCATAATTTGGCTTCTTCAACAGCTATTGAACTGTGATTTTCAAGGTCAACAACATTATTTGCACTAAAGCATTCTTCATTAAGACTGTACAATCCTCTGTCCAATTTACCAAGCAAGATCAGGCCTGATCATAGAAGGGCCCTGAAGCAAACATGTATCATTAGTAAATGATACTGATCCTGAAACATCTTTGCATAACTTTGATATTGACACCAAGTTAAATTGAAAACCAGGAACATGTAGGACATTATTAAGAGTAATGTCTGATTTAAGCAAAACCGTTCCTATATGCTCAACTTTCAGTTTCTTTCCATCTGGTATTGTTATAAGTCTTTCATCAAGTAATTTTGAGTATGTTTTAAACATTGAAATATCAGCACACATGTGATCAGAAGCTCCACTATCAAGAATCCATGTAAGATGCATAGAAGAAGCAAGACATAAATTACCTGTCAAATGAGAAGTCACTACTAAGCCAAGGGAACTTGAACCTCCAAAGAGTTCACCTTGCTCAGCATTCTGTTGTTTTTCAAGATAATGCAGAATATGCTTGTGCTGTTCTTGAGTAACTGAAAAATTCACCAAGTCTGCTGATTCTAATATAGTAGAGTCATCCAGCTGAACTGATGCTGCTACCTTCTTAGCTCTATTTTTGAAATCAGAAGGGTAGATGTAGGCGTCGCTCGAAGTGCGCCTACGTTAAAAAGCATGTGGTGAATATGCTTGGCACTCATAGGAAGTAGGAATTGACATAATACGATTAGGGACAAGGAAAGTAGGGAGCTGCCAACAAGTTTTTAAGGAACTTGTAAACCGTTCACGGATCATAAAAGGCAACCACGAATAAGGGACAGCGAAGGCAACAACGATTGACCCGTGAAGGTTACACCCCATTCATAATCCATGAGATTACTAACTCCATATGGTTCGGAACCACGAAAGGAGGATCGGGGATGATGGTACGAAGTGAGTCATGGAGTCACATTTGCCCGTATTGGCCTCTACTCGATTCTTATAGTGAAAAGCATTCCTGTGATCTCAAAGGCATACAAACAATAATTCAATTCGCTCCAAACTATTATTTAACTAAATTGGTGGAACATTAGTGCACACATAATTCTAAAATATTTGTGATCACTTCAATTAATAATAAGATAAAAAGGATCCTAAACCGATTGTCCAAATTATCTTATTAGGCGTGATTTTCAATTACATATTCCCTTTAAACATGCAATACGGTGATCAATAATAGAATAACATTAATATTAAAACAAAATTAATCACAATTCCAACAACATAACATCGTTAGAAAAATAATAAAAATAAAAGGAGCATGATCCTTACTTTGATTCTGTTTGTTTGCAACTACAAAATAATAAACGAGTTAGTAACTTCAAGGAAATAATAAAACGATGATTAAATTAAATTAAATAAAGTAAAGTTGATTTTGGGGCCAAACCCTCAAACAATTCTACCTTTCACGCCTTGGCTTAAGGATAGAACCACGAGTAAAGTATGGACTCCTTTGAGTACTTGAAGAAGGAATTTTGAAGTAGAAAAGGGTAGGCTAGTGTTTAGGCTAAAGCATAGAAGAGAGAAAATAAAATAATCGAATTACTCGGTGCCCCGTTCATCAGAAATGAGGGGGTATTTATAGGGAAAATGTGCTAAGGGAGCACAAGGAACCCTAAAATGATAAAAACCCTAAAAAGGTATCCCGTGACATGGTCAAACTGTACTGTGACACGGGAAGCTCCACCGTCAGACGGTACACTTTCCCGTGACACGGTACATTTTTGGTGTGATGCGGGAAATTTTCAGAAAACGGGATAAAAAACGCGTTAAGGGTTTACGCGGAAAAGACACGGAATGTCCCGTGTCACGGCAGACCTCCCGTGTCACGGGAAATCCCACCGTCAGACGGGAAGGATTCCCGTGACATGGTAGGTACCTGCCGTGGCGCGGGAAATTCCAGCCTATTTTTCCGTCTAAATACATTTTTAACCCTAATTTCCTTCGGCATTTTAAGTCCCGATTGATCATTTTGGGCCTTTTCTGACTTTTTATTATTCGGGCTAAAATAAGAAAATAATTAAATTAAAATAAATAAAGGGTTTGGGCCAAAAATAAATAATAAAACAATAAAATAAAAAAGGCTTGGGCTAAAAATTAATTAATAAGTTTGGGCTGAAATTAAAACTATGCTTTTACCAAACATCAAGACTAATCCATGGACTGTTCAAAAATATGAATTTAATAAAATACGATTTTTTAAGCACTCTCGGGATTAAATACTAAACCCGACCAATAGTGGCGGTGAAAGGTTGTTCATCATCAGGTTTGGTTTTGGGGAGACATTTTTAGGTGTCTACAGAAGCCCCCACTTTGACTAAGTTTGTAGAAACGTCAGTTTCGAAAACGATAGTCAAAGTAGCCGATAGGGACGGAGAATGATTAAAGACGTTCTGCGATCCTAAATCATTCTGTATACGCCGATACCTGCAGAAAAATGTTAGTTCTACAGATAAAAGAGTAAAGGGATAGAATGCTTATCTAACACCAGTGTATTGGTGGCAAATGAGCTTGGTAGCTTCCTATGCTTGAAGGAATCCACCGGATGACGTCTGTTTAAACGCTTTCCATGCCTGAGGAAAGCCGACTGAGGAGTTTGGTAGTTTTTTAAGCCTGAAGAAACCTACCGGATAATACTTTCCATGCTTGAGGAAAGTCGACGTATGAATTTGGTGTCATTCTACGCTTGAAGAAATCCACCGATGATGCTTTCCATGCTTGAGGAAAGCCGACTTGGCGGTTTTCTATACTTGAAGAAAAATCCACTGATAACACTTTCCAAGCTTGAGGAAAGCCGACTTGGCGGTTTTCTATACTTGAAAAAAAATCCACCGATAACGCTTTCCAAGCCTGAGGAAAGTCGACTTGGCGGTTTTCTATACTTGAAGAAAAATCCACCGATAACGCTTTCCAAGCCTGAGGAAAGCCGACTGATGAATATGGTGTCATTCTATGCTTGAAGAATTCCACCGATAATGCCTTCCATGCTTGAGGAAAGCCGATTTGGCGGTTTTCTATACTTGAAGAAAAATCCACCGGATACTACTTTCCATGCTTGAGGAAAGTCGAAAGATGATGAGATTGCAAGTCTCTGTGTATTGAGAACCTTGCGTCATGAAATGATGGTGGTCCGCTTGTCCCCGGACGTGGGTTGTAGATGGTCCGCTTGTCCCCGGACGTGGGCTGTAGATGGTCCGTTTATCCCCGGACGTGGGTTGTAGATAAGACCTGCAAAAATAAATTTGGCAATGGACTCATATATACTGTGATTGACTTGACCACTAACTTGACCAAGTTTGACTTGATGTGACATGACATGTGTATGACTTGTGAGTGTGTGTGTGTGTATATGTGTGTGTGCAGACACAAGCAAACGAAGATGCAAAAGCAAAAATTTTCCGTCAATTTTTGTCATGAGTGGAGGGTACCGACTTTGTCCCGAAAAAGAAAGATGTGAAAACTGAACTTTTATTTTCGAACTTCTCGATGAAAACTTGGAAAAAGTTTTTTGAACTTCCCCAAAATAAAACAATGAAAAGGGAGAGAAGTTTTGAACTTCCTCCTTGAGCAAGACGAAATGAATCGTATGGATTGAATTGTTTGTCCTTAAAAAAATGTATGCATGATGCATGTTCTTAGGCCAGGAGGCTAAGGACAATTACATCATGTGACACAATAGATGAATGAACTTAAGTCATGGAGCTAAGCATCATATATGGTGTAAAGAAGCGATTTTGAACGTCACTTAGGTCTGGAAGCTAAGCACGTATAGTGATTATTGCATAATGAACGTTGCTTAGGTCAAGGAGCTAAGCATGATATGCTTTGTATGATTAAAAATCATTGATATATAAATTTTTCTTAGCACATTATGCGAAACAATGAACATTGCTCAGGAAGCTAAGCAAGTATACAATGTTTCTTCTACTGAATGTTGTCTTTAAATATGATGAAGCATACACAGTGTTAAAACAAGATTTCATGATAAAGGGCTCTTAAAGGGAAGGATGATTGATACGGATATGGATGTGTGAGTGAAGTGTGTGAATGTGATACTAAGGCTGGCTGCAAAGGTTATAGCGATGGAAAGAGATGTGAGAAGAGTTAAAGATGATGACTCTTTAGGCTGGGTAAGCTAATGTGATTTGGGTTCAAGCCCCCAAGTCTAGCTCTAAATGGGTAGGGATAAGAATTGGATATTCTTTGACTCGATCATGCATGGATATGAATATGAATGTGGCCGCACCTCGATGTGAGGTTTCCTACGTATCCGTTAGGAATCAGGCCGAACGTAGCTCTAACCGAACTTTGCACAAGTGTATGTACACCTCAAAGAGGTCTTTCAAGGGTTGTAATGTGGTTAAGTTGATGGTTTAAGGAAGAAAGGGGTAAAAGGCTCAAGACCTGAGGGAATCCCCAAGATGTGTAATTTTGAATTTGAAAATTTTGAATTTTGCAAGTTTATTTTCAACTTTTTTTTTTGTTTTGAATTTCTTTTTTTTCTCTTTTTTTTTTATTCTTTTGAATCAATGTAGACAATCTCAGATCATGCGGTCAATCACTCACTTAGCATTCATGTTTCTCAGGCACGGTACCAAGCACTCGATGAGAGACGCAATTTGAGACGTGTTCATATCAAAGACATTGGAACACTTGCCTTTAGACATTGTTTTATTGTTGCTTTGCTGCTTTTTTTTTTTTTTACTTGCTTTTTGAATGTTATACAATTACACATCTTCTAATCCCAGGGTTAAGTAAATGTGGGTTGAAGAAATGAAGGCCAAACGTTAGACGAGGCTCAAAATGGTTGATGAAGAAATGGAATGTGATTGAACGGTTAACAGGGAATGACATGGTTGCAAAGGTGCCTCAAGTCATTGGTGTACCTTGGGTTTAGTTCGGTAACTGTTTTTTTTTTTTTATGAAAAATTCTATGATCGAGATGTAAAGGAAAATTGCTCATTTTATTAATGGAAAAGGTGAACAAAACACATGAAACATATAAAAAAATTCAAAGTGGAAAACCTATGCTAGACATGAATGGGGGAATGGAGAAGAATGATAAAGAAAGAAATCATAAAATCTTGCACGAAGGATCTGTGTGCCTTGTATTCATTACTTCTTGCCGCCTGGAGGGACAGGAAGTTTGTTTGCATCCATCAAGTCTTGAATGACGTCCTTCAAATTCCAACATTGCTCCGTAGTGTGGCCCCTTCCTTGATGGTACTTGCAATAGGCATTGGGATTCCATTTGGCGATCCTTTCTTCAGGTTTTGGCTCTGGAAATGGCCCAATAGATGTGATCAAGCCTTGACTGTAAAGGCGATCAAAGGCCGCATCATAAGTCATTCCTAAAGGAGTGTAAGTTCTTTTCTTCTTGGGCAATGGAGTATCAAGAGCTAACACTTCATTGAGATCAACTTGACTTATATTGTTGGTAGTATTTTTGTGCTTAGAAGACGAAGAAGAAGGATGGTCGTTCTTCTTGTTTTTCCAAGTGTTATTATGTTACTACCAGTAGTCTTTATTAGCTCATCCTCGATATTGATGCCGATGTCGTATACAGCTTCGAAAGTGTTCAGTGGAAGAAATTTGAGATGTTCCCTATATTTATGAGTCAGA